AACAATGTCTTTCTCGTGGAGATAGCCAAGACCACGGACAACTTGACGGATAATGATCCGTGAGTCGAGTTCCTTGACCGTGCCATGGCGTAGGATGAATGACATGAGATCACCACCCGATGCAAGTTCCGTAAAGGTATAGCTAGGGCCATCAGTTCATGGTTCTTCAAATATGTAAGTCTCACTTACAGTGAGTGTGGTGATGAGATAGCATCCACGTAAGGAAGGATGTTAGGCTATTGCAGGTTAGCGAGACTCGCGATATCAGCGCGAATCGACTTACATGTCTCAGCTGGCGCAAGATGTCAGCTTCCTGAAACTTGCGGCGGATATCCTCTTGAGAATTCTTTCCTTGAATCTTGTCGAGGTTGATTAACTTGCAAACTAACTGCTTCTTCGTCTGGACGTCGTTTGCCAGGCAGACGACTGCTTCCGCTCCTTGCCCCAGGCAATGGCTACTGACGTGATACTTGCTTGCGAACAACTAGGGCAGTTAGTTTCAGACCCCAGCCGGTAATAGGGATCATTCAGGCCAACCTTGCATTCCTCTAGTTGTAGGGAAGTCAACTCATGGCGAGGAGGTGGATGATCTTGTAAGACTGTAAACTTCTAGTATGGTCGAATTTCGATCACATCGCCGCTCTGGAGTAGGTAGCCAGGGCTTATATCCGGACCAGAACCGATGAGTTGGCCATTGACAAAGGTGCCATTTGAAGACTTTCGGTCCCTCACGTAGATATGGTTGATGGTCGGCTCATACACCACAACATACACTTCACAGTGGTTTCGAGAAACTGCGAAGTCGAGGTCATTATCGACAGCCAACGTGCTGTATGTGTGAGCTTGTGTGACATGCATGCATTTCATGTGGATATTTGCTCACTTTGCACGGGGGTCTCGCCCGATCTTGAAGATTTCTCGTTCCCACACTGGAAACAGTTCTGAGAAGCGAATTAGAAAGAAGCACCAGAGGTGGAAACCATATGAAATCTTGAGGGCATGTTAGGAAGAGCATACGCTGAGATTGGTGTTCGCTTCTGGAGTCTATCAGATGAAGATATGCCGCTGGGCTTTCTTGCGACGCGCGAGTCATATCCTCTTCCATGTTGAGGTTCATAGATTTTGAATCTGGTTCATCTGCTTGTACTTGTACCTAGTGTAAGTGCTTTCTTGGCTGGATTAGTTGGCGCAGTAAGATTTGTGTAGCAAGATCACGAAATCTGTGGTTTAGATTGCGATGGTGGTTGAGTAAGGTAGTGGAAATTGTTCAATTGTGGCTAATTTTCTCGTCGGTTGCAATTCCTATTGTCGCAGTTGAACAATTGCAACCGTTCCTTCCCTCCTTCCCTGCTTCCTGCTTCAATCGTCACGCCTGGCACTGGCACTGTATGCGCAGGACAGTGCCCCACTCAATTGGCACTCGTCGCCCACCCAAGTTTTGGTGGGGCCTTGCAACGATGATGGAAGGAACGATGGGGTTCGGTCACGTGCTGTGAATGGGGTTGCATACACAAAATCGTAATTCTGCTCTCCGAGCTTCAGAAGTTTGTTCCTTATCCCAACACGATTCTCATCCACGAAAGAGTAAGTTTACGCGACCCGACCCTGGCCTAGAGCTTGTAGCTTGCAGGCATTGAGCTTGAGCTCATGTCATGGCAAGCTCCTTGTCTCGTTGACGGCATTCCGCATTTGCGCCACAGCTGCTAACGTCTTTCAACAGCATCGTCAATCAAGATGAGAGCCAAATGGAGGAAGAAGCGGGTTCGCCGCCTCAAGCGCAAGAGAAGAAAGATGAGGGCCAGATCGTAAGTTGCATCGCTGTCGTCGACATATCGACAATCGCTAACCGTCGTCACAGCAAATAAACACCTCGCACCTCAACCTGACTTGACTCATCTCGCATGATGTTACGACTTCACACGCACAACGATACTCTGGCCGAAGATGCGAACCCTACCTTGGCGCCTCTGGGATGTCCCGCAACGTTATGAGCTGGGATTTGACTTTGGGAACTACGTCACGGTGGTGGAACCCCGCACTTGAGCGGCTGTTGGGCTCACAATGAACATTACGGGGATGGGGATTATGACAATTGGACGGTCAGGAACCAGGCGGTGTTAGGATCAAAGACCATCAGTCATGCTCGCAAAAGACGATGCAACCAGAACTTGAATGGCAGTTCTAAGACAAAGAAATACAGAGTATTCCTCTGACAATTTGTGTGCTTTGTGATTGTGCCCTCGTGACACTAATTAGCCTCCAGCTGCAGGTCGATCAAGCTGTGTCGCGCGCTAGCTATCAGCCAACTCATGCAAGTCCTTCGGCCACACGCCAATTCATCTCCTTATGATGTCGTGATTCCGGTTCTCTCAAATGCGATTGATTTCGCCGTTCCCTAATTTTAAATTTGACGAGGTGTTGTGCGCGACGCTCTGTCGCATTCAGCGCCGACGTCACAAACAGAGTAGCGCTAGTGGAGCTACTTGGCGGGTTGCAGACATGGAATACTGAAGATGTGGAAATTTGGAGATACTGGAGCTCAGCGAAGCTCATCAACCGTCAATTAAGTTGCATACGACAGTATATGAACTCGCCATTCTAGAACTCTTCCAAACGGCTCTTCATATATTCATTCCTCAACTCAATTCTTCAGCATATCTCGATACAACTGCGAGGTACGTTCTCTGCTCTCACCGCCTTCCCTGTCGGGCCGGCTAAACGGCGGACCCTCCCTTTCTGCCACTGAAAGTCAAAAAATTTCTAAGACCTCGTCTGTATCAACAGTACCTGTACTCGCGATCACATACGAAATCGATAGACGGCCATCCAAAATGGGGAGTGAAAAGCGCAAGAGAAGCGGGGAGTCGACGAAGCCGAAGAAGAAGGTCGTTATTGATGCGCCTCCTTCATCAGCGACCGTCTCTTCTATCCTCAGACCCAAGTTCTGCCCTCCTGTGATAGGTACTAACCACCACCTCTGTGAGGGCGCGATGCGACAGATATTGACTGATCTCGAATAGCGACGGCTGTTGGTTTCCAAGTACCAAAGAACATTCCCTTTCACTCATATGCGCCCAAGAATGGCGCCAAGTCAAAAAGCAAACAGCCTGAATCGGCTGCAGAAAAAGATTTCCTGCTGCACTCGAATGCGCATCGATCTATGGACTATACTGTCAAATCGGACGAGCCAAGAGGAAAAAAGCCAGCATTAAATCACTTCCTCGGAATCTACGATCCCAAGACGGGAAAACTTGAGGTGGTCGAGGCAAAGAAGATGACAATGCGGGCTTCAGTACGAGCAAGGCAGGGCGCCGCTGCTTCTTCTGGCCAGCGCGATAACACCCAGGTACGCCTATTTCTATCTACTCTAGAAAGGCAACATTCTAACAAAGTACAGACCATGCTACAGCTCAAGACCGACCTCGGCCAGACGTTTGGTACCAAGAAGGCCAAGAAGGCCATCCAAGAGAACGTCTTGAACGCTATCGCACCGCAAAGGAATGCCGGAGAAGAGCCTGCGAAGATTGATGCAGCAGCACGTGCTATGCTCAACTCTGTCGGAGAAGTCACATCGACCATGTCATCGAGAGAGGAGTTACAAGCGGTTGTAGATGCCGCCAAGCCTGTGCCCATTGCCAACATGGAAGCGACCGAGATTCAAGACGTTTACGATCCCAAGAAGATCATCGGAGCCGACATCCTCAAGCTGGTTCCCATTCGAGAATGGCAAGAAAAGGTACAACACAATGAGGGCATTCAGGTGTCATCACGCTTTGTTGCCGCTCGGGTGAACCGCGTGGCGGGCAACGAGGAGGCCGTGGATCGACTGCGTGTGCTACGTTACTTCTACTTTGTGCTTCTTTTCTACCTCCACAGCAAGCCTGGCAAGGCCCGCGGCACCCGAACCATCGCACCTCGGGAGAAACTTAGAGAGTTCCTTGCTCCTGCACCCGAGGCTGTGATTGAGAGCATTCGCCGCAAGTTCTCTGACCGTGGCGAGATGCGCAAGTTCCACGTGGATCTGCTGATAACACACTGCTGTGTTTTTGCAAGCATCATTGACAATTTTGAGGTTGACACACAGAACTTACGTGACGATCTGAAGATTGATCAGAAGACGATGAATGCCTACTTCCAGGAGATTGGCGGTCGCATGAAGCATGTCATAAACAAGGATACGAAACAGCAGGTTAGCGTAGCCCGTCTAACGCTGCCATTGAGCTTCCCCAAGCAGAGGCAATTTGCGCCAAAACGCCGATAGTTCTGGTCAACGGAGGTGTCCGCAGGTGTGAAGAAGAATGATTAAGAAGAGGAAGAAGAAGGGCGTGAAGAGACGGTGTGAGCGGGTGGTTATTGTGATGATTGAAAAGAAATTGCATGCTGAATCTTTCGGCAAAGGAGTTTTGCGGATGGACCGGGTATGTCAATGTACCAAGCTTGGGCTTCAGTAATTCAGTGCCTACCAAGATAACGTAGCTCGAATGGATTATTCTTACACGTTATATGCACTTCTTTAATCTAGACACTTGTAGTTGTTTCGTGATTGGTCCGGGATATTTCAGGATGCTCCTAAGTTAGCTCATCTGAGTTGTAGACAGCAAATACAAGGTATTTAGAGCTTGATGAATGCTGTGTAATGAGACCAGAATTATGCAACTCAGTATCAATATTTCTACGATCTATTGCACAGTCAATCAAGCTCAGCCAATTATTCGTTCTACAGCGATCGATCTCCCTGTAGACTTGGCTCTAGCAACATCTCCGCCTCCCATGCCGAGGCATCTCGGTACGCCAACCGAGTGGGGAGACAAGATCCGGGGTAATTCAATCAATCAATCACCCATGTAAGTAGAATACCCTTTAACAAGAAGTCAACTCAACTTCTCCTGGTTATCCTCTTCATCCTCAATATTACAAGTCTCTTCTTCTCCGTTCATCTGGTCTTATCATTTCGAATATCCTCCATCACATCCTTTATACTACAATCTACAGCTTTCATCATGGCAGAAGAGTCTACCCTGCAGCTCGAATATCGAGGCCGTGTCGCCGTCTTAACCATTTGCAATGAACAAAAACTCAACGCCTTCAACTCAGCACAATACTATGATCTCGCTCAAAAGATGCGAGAGATTGCTACCCATGACGAGATTTTTACTACAGTGATTTTGGCAAAGGGTCGATACTTTTCAGCGTGAGAGCCCTCCATCGAAGCAGTCCACTCACTGTCTCCCAAATGACAGACAACCGATATCAGTATGGATGTAACTAACTATTCGCAGAGGAGCTGACGTCGGTGGCTCTCGAGAGATTGCTGGAGATGGAAAGGCAGTCCACAAGCAAGTCTTGCAGGGCTTTGTCGCTCAAAACCTCAACATCACCCATGCCTTTGCAACTCACCCCAAAGTTCTCGTCGTTGGCCTCAATGGTCCTGTTGTAGGCCTTACAGCTGCGCTCATTGCATTTGCTGACTTTATTTACTGCGCGCCGTCGACTTTCCTCCTCACACCTTTCTCATCCATTGGTCTTGTCGCCGAAGGTGGTGCATCGCGAGCACTCGCACTGCGACTCGGACCTGCACGGGCCAACGAAGCATTGCTCATGAGTCGCCGCATTGGATCTCAGGACCTTGAGCGCTGTGGATTCGTCAATGCCATCTTTGACGAGGGCGATGATGTCAAGTTCAGGGCTAGAGTGTTGCAAGAGGTTGACGAGAGGCTGGGAGATCACCTCATTGGGGATAGCTTGATCGGAATTAAGAAGCTGATCAGGAAGCCTGAGTTGGATATTCTGCACACACAGAATGTCCATGAGGTTTTCGCTGGACTGGAGAGATTCATGACGGGTGTTCCCCAGGAGGAGTTTGCAAAGCTTGCGAGTGGTGCGAAGCGACACAAGCTGTAATGATTGACGCTGTCTTATCTAGGTATCTATCTATACCAGAGAAGCGAACATGAAGCAATTAGACTCGACTCGGACATGTGCTCTCTCACCTTAGTATACTGTGTCTTTTCTTCTGCAGAGGTAAGGATTAGCGACGTCACACAATATCAGCACAACCACATCATGTAACAAAGAGAGATTATACAAGGACAAAAAAACATACAACACTGGGGATTCGCTGGTCGTCACCGACCCAACTACTAATCCAGCGCTTCGCAGCTTAACTAAGGGGGAGCAGACGGGACCCCGTGTTCTCTACGAGCTGTGGTCGTATGTGGTAAGCGGATACATCACAATGCCTTATGAACAAGGTACTGACACTCGTATACATATTATCCTTGGTGCGGACAACACAGTTTAATTGACAATGTCTTCAGCAGGAGTGCCGTGATTAGTGGGTTATTAATAGTCTTTGATTATCAAGTGTTGCGTATCCCCTATGCTAGCAGACCAAACAATAAACTGACTCGTTGCCAGAAGTCGTTGGACGACTTCGAGATTCGGTGTTTGGCTGCCTCGTCTAACTTGCAGTGTCGGTAGACATTGTCCTCGAGGTTCTGGAACGAGCTGCCTGCTGACTCTGTGTTGCCGATGCAACGCCGTAAGAAGGCAATGTCAAAGAGCCATTGAGTCAAGACATCCGCCTTCTGCTCAGCACTGAGACCAGGTTTCTTCTCTTCGGTATCCTCGGGCTTTGGTGGCTCTTCCTCGACACTGGCCTTCTTTCCATCAGTCTCCTCTACACTCTCGTCCTCTGTATCATCGTCGTCGTCCTTCTCTTCCTTTGCATCTACCTCGTTTGACTTCTCATCTTTGAGGTCTTCCTTATCGTCAACTGCGTGCTCCGCCACTGCTGCCTCCCACATTTTGCATAGTTTCTCAGTCAGGTGCTTCTTCAACACAGACACAGCAGCTTTGGTCCAGAGATCAGCCCCCTCGTCCGACATAGACAGTGATAGTGATCGTAGGAACTGGAAAACCTCTGGTGAGGGCTGATTGGGTAGCGCTGGCTCTCCATCCCAAAGTGGTCGACCCACCACTACTCGCTGTGAAAGTCCTTGCCTGGAGAACTCTTCCAGAGAAGACTGTGAAACTGCCAAAGCCACCTTCTCATGCATTGAAGGGACAGCCCTCAGGCCAAAGCTCTTGATGGAAGGGCGCTCTGGTAGCTGATGTCGGATATCTCGTAAAATACGGAGGAAGTACATGGCTACTTTACCGTTGCGCGATGACTCAGCCTGCTCATCCCAGAGACTTTGTATTTGATCTTCAAGCTCTTTGAAAGACTTATCAAGCGTGGCATCCAGCCTCTCTTGCAACATCTGGGGATCTTCTTTGCTCAAGAGTTTCTGTCGAGCTTCGATCGTCTCCTCATCCTCAATCTCGTCGTAGTCATTATCCCAGCGTTGCTGTCTCAATTGTTCAACAACCTCCTTGACATCGTCGATGACATGATACCATGATTTGTAAGAATGCGCTGCTTTGGAAACAGCATCATTCCGTCCATAAAACCGAGACACGACCTCTTGCACAAATGGGGCAGCGCCACCCGCAAGAGCTTCATCGTAGCCTTCTTCGTTCCAGATGCTCACATGTTCATCAGTGATACCATCTTTCCATCGTCCTAGAGCTGCAGAGATCTCTGATCCAACTAAGCGGAGCTTGCTGACCTTTGTGTCGAGGACTTCGAGCATGCGTGAGTTGATGGCTTCACGGAGAGAATCCCGCATCTCTGATGGATCGATACCTCGAGCCTTGCCGCCGTCTCTAATCCAAAGCTCCAAAACACTTGTTCGAAGCTCCATAATTGACTTGAATTCGGACATTGTGCCTAGTGTTTTCTTGAGTCCGTCGAGGAGAACCTCCGATCCCTTCTCGGACCATGTAGTTAGCATCTCACGAGCTTGACTTCCGTCCAGGTCGTCATGTCGGACAAACGGTGTGAAGTACTGGATTTCTTCGTCACACCACCGTTCATAAATGTCTAATCGTAGCCCTTCAAGCTGCTTGAGACCGGGGTCAGCTAGGAGAGGGTGGCTCTTAAGACCAGAGAGCGCCAATGACAATCTGCCTGGCACTAAAGCTTGCACATCAAGAAGAGTTCTCGAATAGAGCCGCAGAGCTTGAACAACGTCATCGGCACTCCTCTTCCGGTTATTCTCTTCAACCTCAAATGCTAGCCCCATAGCCTCTGCTCTTACATGGAGAAAATGACGGAGGACATCTCTTGCTCCAGAGCTTGTCGCTAGGCTGTATGCACATAGTGCCTTTTGCACGTCTTCCCTCTCAGTCTCATCGCCAGCTCTCTCAAAGACCTTCTCGACGTTCCTGAGCAACCTTCGTCGTAGCTTGCTAACGGATACTCTCGCTGTTTCGATGGCTTGGTGACTGCTAGTGTCAGTCGCATCGTCCGAGAGACTCTTTATCAAAAGTCGACTCAGAACCAGGACCTTCGTAGAAAGTACCAATCTATCTCCCTTCTTGACATTGTCACCCAGTCCACAACTGCCTTTAAGTATTCGCCCAACAACCAGAACACAGGCGTCGAGTAGCCTCAACCGTGCTGCGACAGAGGTAGCGGATTTGTTCTCCTTCGCGACAAAATTTGCGAGGCCCGTAGCCTTGGCGCTAATCACAGCTCTACCGCATCGGCCACCCATCTTGCCTAGAAGCTCCTGAACGACATCGTTGTCATCGCGCATGTGCACGATAGTGTCCGCTGTGCCGAGTAGATCGCGATAAGAGCTTCCAACCTGGGTACGCAGGCGGGTAGACTTTTCTTCGATTGCGACATGGAGGCTTTTGTGAATAGCTCGGATCTGTGGGAGGGTGTTATTCTGAGAGAAGATCTGGGCAGATGAGGTGAGCTTGGAAGTGTCGATATCGGCCATTGTTGCGCGAAAGCTATGGATTGTATGTGATTGGCGTTACCTATTGATAGGCATCTGCAAAATAGTTTGTCGAACCCGGCTTCTTATGGTTGTTGGAAATTTAAGGAGAGACGTTGGGAAGTTGTAGGTTTGCTGGAGGGAAGCTGTCCTGGCTGTTCAAGCAACGTGGAGCTTGGCCCCGCCATACAAGGGTCGACCCGCCATAAGATAGGTGATAATCAGGGGACTTACACGTAGGTATGTTGTGGAAGCCAAGTAAATGGATATTTCACAAAATTGGATGAATTCTTTCTTTGATGACGCTATTAACCAAGTCCTTAATGAATTTAAATCTATAGTCTTGTGCTCTTGACAACTGCTGTGTTGATACCTGACAGCTCTCCTTGGTATCCTCCCTTGGGCTCGCCGCCTTGCCAAACAGGCTTCATGCTCTTCAACTTCTTTTGCTTCGCCTCGTACTGCTTGCGCTTCTTGACTCTGGGGTTCCTGACGTCCTTGCTTCGCTTGGGTGCTAGACCCTTGTTCTTCTCGATAGCATATGTGATCTTACGCTTGCCGTCCTCACCAAGCTCCTCCTTCTCGACAACTCGATCTGCCTTACTGGCAGCTGCGTATGCTGCGTAACGAGCGGCCTTGTCCTCCTTGTTCTTCTTTGACTTTTGTGCCACCATATCGTAGTACTCATCCTCATTGTCACGGACAGTCTTGGCCGTTGTGGTGTCCTCATCGTCGCTGTTGCCATCGAGGTCTGCTCCAAGCTTGGAGTTCTTCTGTCCACGTCGCTCAGCCTCAGCATTGAGACGCGCCGCACGGTCTCGAAGTCGTTCGCGGTGAGGAATATCCATGTCACCACCGGCATCCCTTCCAGCGCCCGCACGCTTGTTCGCCTTCTGTACGATTTGAGATGTGTAGAACTTGAGACTCTTCTTGCGGGCAGCCTTCTCAGCTGCGGTGCGTTCATCAAGAACATCCTCTTCACCAAAGTCGGAGTTGTCATCGTCTTGTTCGATAGCAGCAGCCTTCTTGGACTTCTTGGATTTCTTGCCGGGAAGAGGTAGATCATATAGATCAGCAACAGCAGCTTCTCCAGCCTTGATTTTCTCCAGCTTTCGTGCCAGCTTCTCAGCAGCGGCCTTTTCTTGCTTCGACGACTTCTTGCTCTTCTTGGTTTTCTTCACCTCAGCCTCGAGATTCTCAACACCCTGCATCAATGCATCATCGTCGATATCCGAAATAGCGTCGCCATCGAAACTCTTGGTAGACTTGAGATCCTTGACCTTTTGCCATGCCTCTCGACAATTCATCAAGGTCTCCATGACCTCGTGGTCCCGTAGCTCGGCAGGATCAATGGTTTTCTGCACCTTTGCGTTATCTCTTGCTGGAGAGGTCAAGATGGCAAAATAACTCGCGAGAGCAGCAACGTAACAGCCGGCAACCCAGTACTTGACGGCTTCTAATGATTGACCCGAGAGACCCTGGGCCGATTTTTGCAAATCCACCAAAGTAGGTTGCAGGTTTTGGAATTCCTTGACAAGAGGCTCGAATTCGGGATAACGGTTCTTGAGAATTGTATATCGCTCTTCGGGGCTCATATCATCGGTGATCTCAACTTCCTTCAAGACTTCTATGACCGTCTCTTCGCCCTCTCCATCTTCTTGACCCTCGGCTAGCCACTCGTCGCCATCAAAGATGAAATCCTCCTCAGCCATCTTGGAGAGCTTCTTCTGTTGAAGACGCTTGGCTTCCACTTCTTCTTCGAGGGCATCGGCCTCGGTCTCGATGTTGTCGGCATTGTAGTAGTCGTTTCTTGAGGATCCCCACCAACCGGAATCGCCCTCCTCCTCTTCCTGGCCAGCTTCGTCGTCTGAGGCTACATCTTTGGATGCTGATCCCTTGTTTTTACGCGGCTGATCATCCTGATCGTCCTCCTCTTCTGAGTCGGAGTCCTCGTATCCGAGAACCTCTTCATCGGACAGCTCGATATCGTCATCTTCTTTCCTTCGACGTTTCGAGTCTGGCGCTTCGTCGAGTAGTATTTGGTCTCGGTTCATGAAGTACTCGTCTTCTGAG